ATCGATATGATACTACATACTGGGTGTTACCCACATCGATATGATACTACATACTGAGTGTTACCTACATCGATATGATACTACATACTGAATGTTGCCTACATCGATATGATACTACATACTTAATGTTACCTACATCGATATGATACTACATACTGGGTGTTACCTACATCGATATGATAATACATACTGGGTGTTGATTACATCGATATGATACTACATACTAGGTGTTACTTACAGCGATATGATATTACATACAGGGTGCTAACTACATCGATATGATACTACATACTGGGTGTTACCTACATCGATATGATACTACATACTAGGTGTTACCTACATCGATATGACACTACATACTAGGTGTTACCTACATCGATATGATACTACATACTGGGTGTTACCTACATCGATATGATACTGCATGCTAGGTGTTACCTACATCGATATGATACTACATACTGGGTGTTACCTACATCGATATGATACTGCATGCTGGGTGTTGATTACATCGATATAATACTACATACTGGGTGTTGATTACATCGATATAATACTACATACTAGATGTTAATTTCATTGATAGATACTACTTTGATCAAACCTGGTTGATGTCAAGAGGTTAATGTCGTTTCTTTACTGATTATCATTCGTCAATAAATGCATCGATTTTCCAAATAATGAAACGCGTTTATTTTTATTTAAAATTCTGTTTTACACTAAGAAAGTGTTTGGAGCTAACATAAACTGGCAAAGATTTGTAACGTAAACTGTTAAAAAAAGATACAGTTCCTACGCGCCTTTAAATAGTTGAATAAGCTCAACATATGAATAGTTGATAATCTTTACTTGATTTAACAAGAATTATAATATCAAGAAGCCCTCGCGATTTCGTAAACTCACCGTCTAATCAAGCCGGTTTTTAATCTGTAAACAATACTTTACGCCACATGTAATTTGATATATATATATGTATATATATGATATTACATTGCGTGTATTTTGATGTTTATAACACTACATTGCGTGTACGTATTAAAGTATATTGTTCATATAAATAACAGTCATTCAGTTTCTTTCAATTACATAAAATGTTTTATATTCAGTAGATTTTAACTATTATCGCGAATTAAGTGAATAATAAGTCGTACTGAATTTATTTATGTTCATAGTTACTGTACTGAAGGTGATTACTATACTTTTTGAAGGAACTACAGCAACTAGCTTAAAACAACTTTAATTATTTAAAAACATAAGCGTCAAGCCATTCAAACCTTTGTACGTGAAAGCGTTGATTAGTGAACGCAATTCTCTTTGCTACACAACTACAAATCCCGAAGAGAGCATCAGTTCACGTGCACACTCCCTAGAAACGAATCTACGCGGTATTAGATAAACTAGTAAGTATAAATGTCATTTTGCTTATTTGCCTTTACCCGGGTTCCAGCTTAACCTTGAAAAGGTTATTTTGACTAAAGCAACCACAAAGTTACGAGACAAACGAGTACTCATAAGTTTGTATCTTAATATATAGATAAGGGAAGGAATGTATTTATCTAATATTAAAGCATGCTTGTTTATCTGTTAAGTGTTTACAGCCGGGTTGTTATCAAACTTATTGGCTACACTAGTGACGTCATGAAAGCGTTTGGTAAAGTCGCTTGCAGTATTACAATTTAAACCAAAAGTTAATGAACCAAAATTCAGAGATGCTTTCGGATATATAAAGTGCCCTAAATGTTTTTTAATTAAAGTTATTCTGTTTCTTCAGTTTACTTAGGTTAAGGTTTTAGATTCTATTGTTTGAAGCTGATTCATAAATTATATTAACAACACAGTAAAGACAGACGAAATTAACAGAAAGAAAAATACCTCAGTTTCCAAACATCATTTTTGATAAATTGGCAAACTGAAGTATTATAATTTATTTATTGAGATTAAATATAAGACATATACTTACATGAATATATATATATATATATATATTAACAGTATTAGAATGCACAACAGACTTCAGAAACTTATATATCTATCGTGTATAAGAGATTTACACTTAACATAATCACTTCTGAAAGTTTAAAGTGGTATGTTCTTAGACTTCACAAATCTGCTCCAACATTAACGTTACTTGATTCGACGGTTAAATAAAAATATTGAAGTTTGATAATTATAATTGTTTTTTCATTCATAATGTTGTCTTCTCTTGATAAGATAATAATTAAACACAATACATATTTTTTCTGTTGTGTATGTGTGTATGTTTCGTGAACTCACCAAAGAAGAATACATATAATATCTTGGATAGGTTTCTATATGAAACGCAGCTTTATTATGTTAAAGATAAGAAAGATGAATTTAAAATTACGGAAATAGTGAGGCCAGAAAATATCCATTGGTACACATATACGTGTAAAAGTCGGGGGTCCACACTCCTTCCCAACCTAATACAATACAAGTATGGTACTTGAAAAGTTCCACATGTCCTTCCTCTCTTAGCTTAGAAAGGTAAATTGTTTAACGGACTTTTTACAGTTTCAAATTGCTTACAGACTTTCGTATAAAGAGGTCTTGCACTGACGACAAACAGTCACTTGCTGTATAGTTTAATCCGCCATATTGGACGTTAAGTGTTTACATTTGTCTTAGGTGAAAAAGGAACATTTGTATTTAAATACCATGTTGTCTGACGCTTTAAGTCATCACAACGCTGTGCACAAAAAAATACGTATTAAGAAACTGAAAAGCTGTAGAGTTTCCGATCTCTGTGTTTTACTAAAAATGATGCTTACACATTTGAGAATATAAAGGTTTATTGGATCTTGTATTAATATTGCTGTTAATTGCTATAAGGGATTGTGTGACGTCCAGTATGGCCGGCGTTGAATCAAACAGGAAGTTTTGTGACGTGACGTGTAAGCGCAGTACTGATCTTATTTCGCGTGCCAGTTACACATGTCAAAGCGAATGTCCCACTTAGGTATTTTTAAATGTTTCACACGGACGATGTTGGTGGAAATTTATTTTCGAATCTTGTATTTTGCTTTGTTTGGTAACATTGCAGTGTTTAGGTTTAGAAACAGCTGGAGGTTAAACTCTCCGTAGTTTCAGGTAGAACAACCAGTGACATGGATAACGCATACACTCTAAGAAGGATGTCTTCATTTTTTATGTGTATAAAGTTATACTCTCTCAGCATAAAACTGAATGTCTACAGAATGAAAATATCGGAATATCTTGGGAAATAATATCGACAG